AAAACAAACAGACATTTGCTGTCCGCCTGAACAAAATCTTCTTATGTACCTTACTGATGCTGTATGGGAAGAACAGGAACGGCCCTAGCAGTGTGGAACAATGCTCATAGATGCTGCATTCATGGAGATGTTGATCACTGCTGCTTTATCATATGACATCTCTGGTTTACCACTGGTTACCCTTACCAAAAAGAAGTATACTTCAAGTTTATTTTATTAAGTATAAATTGTTACAAACATTGTCATCTCAGTTAATTAAGTAATGTTACAGTTAATTGATTTAAATATACAACATATCACTGTTAGAGAACACATTCAGACAGCAGAGTAATGTTAAACGTTCGTGGTTTACAATTAAAGATGGCATTATTTTTTTTCAGATTTGTTTTAAAACAATACATGTATATATATATATATATAGTAAAATAAACAAAACCAAAAAACAGCAGTCTCTTTCACTTCATTTCTCATATGCACACTTACATGTAGCAAGTTAATTTTAAATGTATATTTTACATTGTTACAGTGCCTTAGTTGTTTTTGTTTGTTTTTTCATATCTACATTCATTCTTTGAATTTAGTTAGTCGTCTTTTGAAATTCTTTCTATACTTTTGTTTCATGTTTTTTGCTCTGTGTGGAAACAATGGTCTTATCTTTCTTGTCAAATCTGTAGTTACAGCTGTAAATGCCGTTCCAGTCACGCTGGCATTTGTTATACTGTCATGCAGGTTTTTAATTTGCTGGCTAATGTGCTGAGGAATGTTCTGCCATTTCTGCACAGTCTCCAGTATTTCATTTAACTTCTGCACTTCAGTTTTAGAGTGGTTTGCTGCAGTGTTCACATTTAACTGCATTGACATGTCTTCCTGCCACAAAGTAGGTACATCTCTTGTTAATATGACATCAAATAATTCACATGCCAGTAGAAGGCAAGCACATTTTTCATTGTAAGAGTATGTACAACAGGTACACTGAAATGTTGTTGCAGAAGTGTGGTAAATCCTCTCATTACATAAACTTTTTACAACTACCTCTTTTGTGTCAAAGCACAGAATGGAGTAAAGCTTCTTTTGCTTAATTACACTAGCATGTGTGTTTATTTGATAATTCAAAGCAGGAAACTTATGAGAATCATGTTCACTCAGCAAATCAGTAAGTACAAGGTGTTTACAGCGATGTCCTCTGATTCCTGTTGGGCAGCTACAAAAACTTTCAGATGGACAAACTTTGTAGGATAGACCAGGGGTTCGTTCTGATGGAACTTCATAAAGGTATGTGTCGTGGGATATAAGATTAATGCTATCTTGCCAACCTTTTTCCACCAATCTAGAGGCTGACTTAAGTATTTCTCCTGACTTCAAAGAGGCATTTTTCATTCTTCCAACTGCCTGCAAATCATGAATGACCTGGAAGTATCCATCTGTCTTCTTGATGAGAATGCTGATAAGATCATCCAGTCTACGGTTCCTAAGGTTCCTAATAAACTGATATTTTAGGCGATGGAAAAATCTAATTAGACAAGCAAAGAAAAACAATACATGCAATACATGTATTGTTTGATTTTTGATATAACTACATTCCAAATGCTTGTGATTCTATTACATTATTTGCAGTAACTCATAATGAAGTTGCATAAGTTTAATTTCAAATATTACCTTTCAACAAGATTGTTTGTATCGGAGTCGGCATGGTTGTAGCACCGTCCAAAGTCAGACCATGTGTGTCCTATTTCCAGCCAGTGATCCTAACAAGATTGGAGTCGGCATGGTTGTAGCACCGTCCAAAGTCAGACCATGTGTGTCCTATTTCCAGCCAGTCCAGCCAGTAGTATGAGCAAAGAGCTGGGAAATCTTCAAACCTCTTGAGGAATTGCGCAGCAGTTGACTTAAAATCTTGATGCTATAATGAAAAAAAGAGTAATAGATTTAATGTTAAATTTAACTAATTTAATATTTGCTTTAAAATAGTTACAATTAAGGAAGCAAAATTGAATTGTTCATTTTACGCACTGTTGCACAAAGCTTCATCTTTCTGATGAAGGAAATTATTTCTGTTCTAACATCAGTATTTGATGGTCCACTGATTCCAGAGTCTGTCTTTGAAAGCCAACGGACAATAGCCTGAAAACAGAGGGTGATTAAATGATTGATAGATAAATGATAGATTTTTCATTTTAGGGCGAGCTATCCCTTTAAGATATGAGTAAGTGTAATGTTGCAAAACCAGGACAAGATATGCTTTAACAAAAAGTTAAATACAATGTGGCTGTCATAGAGATACACATTTAATAAGGTTTTTTTCTCTTTCAGTTACTTAACAGAAATGTGGAAAAACACAAGAAAAACACCACGGATATTTTCTGCAGATTCTATGCCAGCCCTGAAATTGAGGGTACCTGAACAGCAAGGAAACACCTCTGAGTGCGGCATATTTGTATTACACTATGCAGAGAATTTTCTGAAGGTAAGTTCTGAAAGTAAAAAGTAAAATCATGGCACTGTGCATGTCACTAAAAGAAAACAAATAATTTATGTTTCAATTCCTTCCTCTAGGATCCTCCCAAAGAACTAATCAATGAGCTTGACTGTACGTCCTGGTTTACACTGGCCGATGCATTTTCAAGGCGTGCACAGATCAGGGACAAAATGCAAAGTAGTTTAGAAGGTGTATTTATTTTAATTTTTTTTATGAACATTACAGAATCCTTATGAAATTTATTCAGTTAAAATATCTAAAATCGTGTGCCACTATTTTCTTAAATTTTAGGAAGTTATTTTAAATACAGCATAGGGTGCACAAGCATAACTTTCTGATGTTTTGATATGGCAGATGATACGTATTTACCTTGTGCTACATTAATCTTGTAATACTGGTGATTGACTATGAGTTTTGATTATGCAGCACAGGGAAGTAAAGCAGAGGAAAACAAAGCAGAAGAAAGAGAAAGTGAAGAGCAAATGGTTGACGAGAGAGGGCAAGAGGAAAACATAGCCAAGAAAAGAAAAATAGAAGGTAGAGAGGAAGAAGACATACCTAAGGAAAGAGAAGAGGACAAAACAGCTCAGGGAAGAAACTATACAGTTCTGGGAAGGCTGTCAGTGCCAGGCACCAAAAGAAAGTACACAGTCACTCAAGATGAACTGAAGAGAAGAATCATGGCAGAAAACATGTCAAACAACATGTTAAGAAGCCTGATTCGGGTTTGTATATACTCTAAACCTTATAGCAATTTGCTATACTTTTACAGAACAAAACATTTATAAAACAGTAACATATTGGTTTACCCAAAGGTTCGTAAAGAGGATCTCCCTCAGGAGCTTAGAGAACAACGGCCGATAAAAGCCAAGACAAAAATAAGCATCTTCTCTGCTCTCAGTGAAGGGGAGGCCACAGATTTAGCCCAGGAGCTGGGAGCCATGCTAGGGAGACATGTAAACCTAGGCATGATTGCAAGTGTTCCCAGTGCTGAGGCAGACATTGCAAAGTAAGTTGCTTTCTGCATATGGATTTTTTAAAACTTGCTTCTTGCTTACAAATCTGTCCATTTATGTTTACAGGAATACACTCTGCACTCTCCAGTGCTTGCTGAGGGAAAAACTGGGAGAGGAATCACCTTTTAGTCTGCTGACCCATACATTTGGACCACAAGTTGTAGATGTTGTCATCTCATTTTTAATCAGTCAGTTTAAGTAGTGGTACACTGAGCCAGTGAACACAATAACAAATGAATGTTAAATTGTTACAAACATTGTCATCTCAGTTAATTAAGTAATGTTACAGTTAATTGATTTAAATATACAACATATCACTGTTAGAGAACACATTCAGACAGCAGAGTAATGTTAAACGTTCATGGTTTACAATTATTTTTAATTTTTTTATTTTTATAAAATTGTTCACATTTAACTGCATTGACATGTCTTCTTGCCACAACGTAGGTACATCTCTTGTTAATATGACATCAAATAATTCACATGCCAGTAGAAGGCAAGCACATTTTTCATTGTAAGAGTATGTACAACAGGTACACTGAAATGTTGTTGCAGAAGTGTGGTAAATCCTCTCATTACATAAACTTTTTACATCTACCTCTTTTGTGTCAAAGCACAGAATGGAGTAAAGCTTCTTTTGCTTAATTACACTAGCATGTGCGTTTATTTGATAATTCAAAGCAGGAAACTTATGAGAATCATGTTCACTCAGCAAATCAGTAAGTACAAGGTGTTTACAGCGATGTCCTCTGATTCCTGTTGGGCAGCTACAAAAACTTTCAGATGGACAAACTTTGTAGGATAGACCAGGGGTTCGTTCTGATGGAACTTCATAAAGGTATGTGTCGTGGGATATAAGATTAATGCTATCTTGCCAACCTTTTTCCACCAATCTAGAGGCTGACTTAAGTATTTCTCCTGACTTCAAAGAGGCATTTTTCATTCTTCCAACTGCCTGCAAATCATGAATGAACTGGAAGTATCCATCTGTCTTGATGAGAATGCTGATAAGATCATCCAGTCTACGGTTCCTAA